CATATATAAATCTGTAATGTATCTAAAGTTGTCTAAGTGTTGAGTTTGTTACTTGAGTTTGAGATCAAATGTTTTCCAAAGTATATTCTATAGTACTTGTAAACGCGAAAAACTTGAATTATATATATTCAAAATTCAAAGTATGTCGGTTACAAGTAGTATCAAGTATATATCAAACGGGAAGGGGTACAATCTCGGTATAAGAGAAACCCTCTTATTCTCTACTAGAAGTATGCCTATTAGAAGTGTGCCGAATTCGGAATATGCCGAATTGGAAGCGTGCCGAGTTCAGAGTATGCCGAACTTGAAGTAGTTCCTTGTCGGAGGTATGTCGAGTTCAGAGTATGCTAAACTGGAGGTATGCCGAGTTCGGGAGCGTGCCGAACTGGAAGTATGCCGAGTTCGGGAGTGCGCCGAACTGGAAGTATGCCAAGTTCGGGAGTATGCCGAACTGGGAGTAGTTCCTTGCTGAAGGGCCTCCGGAGTTATGTAGCTTGTTCTTCAATGAAGGGCTAATATGCAGCTTGATCTTCAAAGAAGGGCTTCCGGTGTTCAAAGGGCCTATTCCTCAGCGCAATATACGCAGTATATATAACTGCGGGCGTGTTCCAGACGATATCCTGGCGAGATTTCGGCAAAGCTTCGATATGCAGATTTCCCAAAGCCCATTCTTTGAAAATGAAACCACTATTTATAGTGGTGAGCGTAGAGAATAAATCTCTAACCAACTCTATCCCTTAATTTAATTCAATTATTTTAATTAAATTAGGGAATGTATTGGGACACCATTGCGTCCACGTTCATCATTTCATTAAATTTCAAATAATATCAAATAATCCAATTTCCCCAAAATTATGTAATCCACATATAATTTTGATGGGCCAAGACCAAGTCAAACCCGCTAATTAGGCAACCCAATTACTCCAAGCGGCCTGATCCGACTCAATTAAATATTCCATCAACTTGGGCCGAACAATCCAACATTCAATTACACTTAATTAAGTAATTAAACCAATTAACTACTCAATGGGCCATTTAATTAACCCAATTAAATAAATATTAGTCCAATTAACTTAATTAAAGTAATTAATTTAAGAATTAAATATCCACCACGGTCCAACAATATTACTCAAATTTTCAATGCTAACAAATTGCCCCTTCGAGACTTGCTTGACGTGCTCGAAATGTGACGGGAAGGTAGTCTCGAAATTAAACTCATCGTAGTAGTCAATGAGCGGTCATATTTATAGATATTAGCCCAATAAACGTTATTTTGAGTACAAAAGCCCATATTTGACAATCCAACATTTGGAGTCGATAGTGCCACATCAAAGGCCCAATTTTTCTACCATTTCATCAATGATCCAAATCACCATTCTTTTTCCATTTCTTAATCCAATAAAACTACAGCCTTCCACTGTATAATCCATTGTCATGCCACCAGGGTCGTTCGTGAAGATATCCTTAACACACGAAAAAAAAAATCTCTTCCAAATATGATCAGATTACTATCCCAAACTGAAATGTGAATGTTTCAAGGGCAGTCTCTCACTCAAACTCAAACGCTGTATGTGTACCACTATAAATAGCCCTGTATTCATTCTTCTGAATACTCGACCAGCCGAGAGGAGAGCAAGCTACAGGTAACCTTTAAGTACGTATGAATTGTATGAAATTTTTTTTGCAGCTTTCATCAGAAGGGATGAAGACAAAGGAATCAAGAACGGGAGGCATTAGACGAGAAACACCTGAAAATTAATTTTTTTCGGGCTTGTTTCTACCTTTGCTTGGCTCGCTTTCTTTACCAACCAACAGTGGTCTGAAACTCCTGGAAATTAATTTTTTTGGAATGACTACCACCACTGTTTGAGCTCTTGGGAATTTTTTTCTGGAATGTCTTCCACCATTGCTTGGACTCTGGACTCTCGCCATTTTCATAAACGCTGGATTGGGAACTATTTGGATTCTTGCCATTTCCTTAAGCAATGGATCGAAACTGCTTGGAATCTCGCTATTGCTGCTCCAGTGCCTCTCCATTCTCACCGTACTTAGTGATGAAGAAGAAATGGGATCAAGCCGGCAATCTAGTATCGCCGTTGGACATCTGTTGAACTCACCGGGCATGTGCTCCGGCACGTTGCTGTCACAATGTTTGGATGTCACTGAGCGCGTGCTCCGGCACGTTGTTGTCATCGACGAACTCGTCGATGGAGGATGCCCATTGGCACCATCATCGGAATGTCATCGCTGCAGGGTGTTGCTCCACCCTCCACGGGCATGTGCTCTGGCACGTTGCTGTCATCGACGAAGGAGGATGCTAATGGCCGTCGACAGTGACGCCATTTGGAGAGGAAGGCTATTGGATAGTTGCCATGCTCCGGCGAGTTGCCGTCGGTTCATCGACGGAGAAGATGGAACCACTCCAGGCATTGCTATTCATGGAGGAGGAACACTGCGCTGCTCGGATAAAAGCTTATGTTTTGCTTCAGTTTAATTACAACTGAAGAGAGAGCCGATGTGTATGTGCTTTCCTCGGAAACGTGAGCTTCATAGAGCCTTGTACTCAGGTAAAATTTTTTTAATGCCATCACTTCTTAATCTTCTATGCATGTACTGTATATACTTGACACATAGCATGGCTGCCATTTTGCTTTTCTCTTGCACCGCTACATAAATGTATATGTATAACATATTATCCACTGGCCCATGTGAATATGTATAATATATATGCTAATATGCATTATCCACTGGTCCATATGCATAATGTATTATCCACTGGTCCATGTGAATATGTATAACATATGAGCTAGCAACTTGCGTGTGTTGTGGGCCAATTGCTTTCATTTTTGCACTTTGCACAGTACCACTTTATTATGTAGTAATGCATACATGCATATAATATGTACGTGGGCCACTAGTATGTGAGTGTATATAATAATATATAACTCATGCTTTATATATGTTCCGTGTGTACATCTGCTTTACCATATAATATATGTACACACTACACAAGCATATAATATGTGATACATGCACGTGGTATGTGTATACGTATAATGTATATTATATGGGTTATCTTGTGCACATATTATGACATGAGAATTTCCTTAACGTCTTCATGGCAATTTTCTTTGAGCCCAATCCTCAAAACGTTTCCCCTTGTTGACATTTATGGACTCGCCCCTTGATTGTTAATACGACTTCATATATCAAGAACCATTCATTTTCAATAATGGTGGTGGGATCTGAAAAGACAAAACCCATAGTGTCGGGCAATGAGACTGGAAAAAGACTAAATGTCACACCAAGAATCCCTTCCAGCCACGACTTTGAGTGGAGAACTGGACTTTTGACACCGAAACTTAGTCCTCAAAACATGGGCTCTGTAATTCGGGTCACGGCATCTGGAATATTCAGATATGCTCCCGACTTTTGGGAGATGGATTCTTGTAGGTGAAGCTTCTTGTAACTAGTATCCTTGCTTTAAGAATGAATTTAATTTCATCAATGGAACAAACTGAGGCTGTACTCAGTATGTATCATGACCTTTTGGAGGCCACCATGAGGCAGTTTTCACCCGTGTCAGAGAGTCTTGAAAGATATGAGGCAATTTCGACTCATGCCAAGGAGTATCGAAAAGATATGAGGCAATTTCGACTCATGCCAAGGAGTATCGAAAAGATATGAGGCAGTTTCGACTCGTGCCAAGGAGTATCGAAAAGATAGAGATATGAGGCAGTTTCGGCTTGTGCCAAGGAGTATCGAAAAGATATGAGGCAGTTTCGACTTGTGCCAAGGAGTATCCTGTAGCTTCTTCCCTTTAAAATTTCATGAAGGGTTTGCCCCTATGGCTGTGATTATGACACTTCTATCGCTTCTGAGGCTACTGAGAATTCAGTCTCAAATGCCACGGTAGAAGTCTCTCTCATCCAAGGGTTGACTCTGTTGACTCCAGAAGATGGGGAGAGCTTGAATGAGGCCAATAGAAGCTTGGAGGCATGTAAAGATGACATGCTTAACTTTAGGCTTTTCATCGACTGATGCTATTTTTCCTTTAGACGTTTTTTTTTCCTTTTTGGTTGCAAGACTGTTGTTGTTCCTTTCCTCAACTCTTGATAATTGAAAGTTTCTCATTTTTGTGTTTGTTTTTTTTAGCAATCACTCGTACATCTTTGCATTGACATGTTGAATGATTGTCCTTCTACATCACTCTTGCAACATGAATTGGATTTGTTTTTGTTATGACTGAACTTAGATGATTTGATTCTAAGCTGCCTACGTACTCCTATGAAGGAAATCAAGTCAAACGTAGTTCAAATGAATTTTTTTTATAAAGTAGAGCCATTCACAGTTTAGACTCATGTGGGCCAGGAGCGTCTATGATTTGGGCCCACCCATAGACAAAGCGAGATGCATTAGCAGTTTAACCACGTGTTGCATTTTTGGTGGACCAGTCATTCATCACATCTTCATGACTTGTGTTGACACCCCAAGTTTAAGGGTGGTAAATCTTTAGGAATCTTCCATTAATCGGACCCGATCTTCAAACCATCTTCACTAATTAGCTTATAAGACCTACCAGCGTAAACTTCTAGAATCACGTAGGGACCATCCCACATTGAAGTGAACTTGTGACCGGTTTTTCTCGTGACGATGATGGGCCTGCAAACAGCTAGGACTTTTTCCCCAATTTGAAAGGAACAGGTCCTTACCCTTTTGTTAAAAGCTCTAGACATACGAGCTTGATAGCACTCCAAGATTTGTTGCGCTTGCAGACGTTTTTCATCCAAGGCCTCTAACTCAGCCAAGCGTAGTTTAGCATTTTCTTCATCGGTAAGACCCTCCTGTATGGCCAACCTTAAGGAAGGTATTTGGCGCTCTAGAGGCAAGATCGCTTCTACACCATACACCAAAGAGTATGGAGTGCTTTGAGTAGGTGTGTAGTATGTGGTTCTATACGCCCACAAAGCTTCTTCCATTCTGTCATGCCAGTCTCTTTTTTATTTTGAGACCACTTTCTTCAACAAATTGCATAGGGTCTTATTAAATTCTTCAGCAAGCCCATTTGCAGCTGCATAGTAAGCTGATGAGTTTCGCTGCTTAAAGTCAAAAAGCTTGCAGATCTTGTCCATCAACTTGTTGTCAAAGGGCTTCCCGTTATCTGTTAAGATATATCGCGGGATACCAAAGCGATAGATGATGTGGACACGGAGAAAGTCTGCAACATTTTCTTTCTTCACCTCCTTCAATGCTACAGCTTCCGCCCACTTTGAAAAGTAGTCGGTGGCAGCTAGTATGTATGCGTGCCCTGCAGATGACTTAGGCGTAATTGGGCCAACCACATCAAGTCCCCAAGCATCGAATGGCCAAGATGCAACCGTTGGGTGTAGAGGTTCTGGTGGCTGATGGATAAAGTTTGCATGATATTGACAAGCTTGACATCTTCGAGCATAGTCAATGCAATCCTTTACCATTGTAGGCCAATAATAGCCCATTCGCTTAATGTGTAAGTGTAACTTGGGACCGGATTGATGTGCACCGCAAACCCCAGAATGAGCTTCTTGCATAGCTTGTAAAGCTTCATCTTCCCCTAGACATCGAAGAAATACTCCATCAAAGGAACGGTGATACAATGTCTCTTTATAGTAGATGAAGCTAGGAGTTCGACGCTTTATATCCACCCTTTTACGAGGATCTTCAGGTAACTTTCCATCAGTGAGGTAGTTAATTAACGGTTGCCTCCAGTCTTCCTTGCCTATATCATAAACTGAGGCAGTAGGGAGTTCAACAGTTTCATCAACTAAGCCGACTTCATTGAAGATTGGTGGAACTACCCATTTTTGACATACTTGTACTCGGGCTGCAGGATGAGCAATAGTTGAAGCCAATGCGACTAAGGCGTCAGCTTGCTTGTTTTCTTTCCTCGGTACATGATCAATTGTGACATCCCCTAACCATTGCATTAGTATCTTTACATAGTTGTTATATGGGACTAACTCCGCCTTTTTCACTTCATATAGACTCAACACTTGGTTTATGATCAACTTTGAATCTCCATAAATTTTAATTCTCAGTTGCTTCATGTCAGCCGCTATTTCGAGCCCAAGTATCAATGCTTGATACTCAGCAACGTTGTTTGAACATTGCTCGGTCAAGGTGAATGAATATGGCAACACCTCGCCTTCTGGAGTGACGAAGACAACTTCAGCTCCTGCCCCTTCTCTATGCGAAGCTCCATCAAAGTACATCTTCCATGGGGGTAGGACTTCAATGACAAACACATCTTCATTAGGCAAATCGTCAGACAACTCCCATTCAGCAGGTATTGGGTGATCTGCGAGGAAATCAGCTAAGGCTTGCCCCTTGACAGACTTCTGTGACACATAGATGATTTCAAATTGTTGAAACAATAAGTACAACCTTGCAAGGCGGTCAGAGAGCACGACCTCCGCCATAACATACTTCACCGGGTTCGCCTTGGAAACAAGCCGGATGGTATGAGCCTCAAAGTAGTCTTAAGTTTTTTGATGGCGAATACCAATGCCAAACATAGCTTTTCAATTGGGGAGTACTTTATACTCGTTCGGGGTCATCATTCTACTAAGATAGTAGAGGGCATTCTCTTTCCCCTTGTCGTTTTCCTGAGCAAGCAAGGCGCCCACAGAACTGTCTTGGGCGGAGATATAGAGAATTAGTGGGTGACCATGAACCGGAGCGGTTAGCACAGGCGGCTTCATCAAGTATGACTTGATACTATCGAATGCGTTCTTGCATGCTTCATCCCATATGAACGGGATACCCTTCTTCATCAACCGACTAAAAGGTTGACATCTTCCTGCTAGGTTTGATATGAACCTTCGGATGTAAGCCAACTTCTCTTGTAAGCTTTTAAGCTCATGAAGGTTTCTTGGCTCATGCATCTTCATTATAGCGTCGATTTTAGCTTGCTCGATCTCGATGCCCCTGTGTCGGACAGTAAACCCGAGGAACTTTCGAGCAGCAACCCCGAAAGCACATTTCAAGGGATTCGTTTTGAGTTGAAACTTCCGTAGGCGGTCGAAGACTTGCCTTAAATGCACCAAGTGATTTGTGCGCATCTTCGACTTCACAACCAAGTCATCTACATAGCATTCGACCATTTTGTGCAGCATACCATCAAATATTGTTTGCATAGCCCGTTGGTATTTAGCACCTGCATTTTTCAAACCAAAGGGCATTACTTTGTAACAGTAAATGCCTTTCGGCGTTCGGAATGCAGTTAAGTCTTCATCTTCCGGCGCCATGCGGATTTGATTATAACAGGAGGAGCCATCCATGAATGACAGGATCTCATGCCCAGTCACGGCATCTATCATTAACTCCGTGATAGGAAGCGGGAAGTCATCTTTCGGGCATGCCACATTGAGGTCCCGAAAATCTATGCAGACGCGGATCTGGCCGTTCTTCTTGCGCACGAGCACAATACTGGATATCCAGGTTGGATATTTAACTTCACGAATAAAGCCAGCCTCAATAAGCTTATTAACTTCTGTTTCAATCGAGGGAATGAGCTCGAGGCGGAAGCGTCGTTGAGCTTGCTTAACCGGGCGACACCCCTTCTTCACTGCTAAGCGGTGCACAGCTACCTTTGGGTCTAACCCTGGCATATCCTTGTATGTCCATGCAAAGACATCAATATATTCTCTTAGCAATGTGACATAGATTTCCTCATTTTCATCATATAGGAGTGCGCTAATGAAGATAGGACGAGGATTTTCAGGAGTTCCCAGATCAACTTCTTTTAATTCATCCACCGCGGCTCGTACCCCTTCATCTAACTCATGGGGTGCATCCTCCGCATCTTCCCCCTCAATCGGGGTCTCATCACACAAAGTGATATGGAACGACGAGACCACCTCTCCCTAAGTAGTTGGTGGTACGTCATCACTTGAGCCTATGCTTTCCTCATTTTCTTCTTTATGTACACGAGTGTGTACAATGGTCTTCGGTTGGAATTTCAACACTTCACCACATGAAACATGAATATATGTTTCTCGTCTCATCCGAGAAGGAATCATGCTTCTAAGCCTTTTGGGAGGTTCCACTTCAGCAGGAACATTGGCACTGTCTTTAATAACTTGGATAGCTCCAAGTCGATCATGCATTGACTTTCTCTTTAAGGCTTTAGGACTTGAGCCCAGTCTATCAAAGACTGAGCGTCGAGAGTCCGCCTTATCGATTCGGTCGAAGACTGACTTCTTTTTGTTTTGCCCATTATCGTTAGTAGGAGTGAGTTTTGGGTCATACTCGCTTCCCTCCGCGGAGATACAATTACTTGCAGCCCTGTTTATAAGAATTCGCACTGGTTTAGGGGGGACATAGCCCAACCCTTTGCGCGTTTGAGGTTCTTGGTGATTTGCCTTGCCTCTACCACCGGCTTCTGGGATAAGCTTTCCCAACTTCTGTGGCTCATTAGGGTTATAGCCAGCCTTGGCTAGAAGCTTATAAGTTTTAGGGTTGAAACCCTAGGTACGCTTGGCGGGGAATATTTTGCCCACTTTATCATCACCTTTCTCTTTAGATAATTTTGCTGCATTTGCTTTGAGTGTATCAATCCTTGCAAGCGGGAAGATGAGTTTCGTGTTATGCTGATCTCCCCCTACAACTTGTTTTCCCTTTGACTTTGATTGGGAAGGTGGATCGTCATGGCTTTCCTCAATATCTTCAACAATAACTTGCCTTTTAATGTAGAACTTTGCATCCGCAAAGTAAGACTCAGCCTCTGTGAAAGGGCTTTCATCGGCGACAACCTTTTCAACTACACTGTTCCTTTCAAACACGAGGCATTGATGCCAAGACGAGGGTACCACCCCATTTTCATGTATCCACGGCCTTCCAAGTAACAAGTTATAAGATGTCCTTGCATCTATGACATGGCAGAGGACACCTGAACTCAGGCTTCCAATTCTTAAGTCAAGTCTGATGATGCCGATTGCTCTTTCCCATCCTTGGTTGAAGCCTTGAATCATTAGACGACTTTGGGCAAGCTCATCTGTAGATATACCAAGGTCCTTCACAGCTCGGAGGGATAGGATGTTGACAGCTGAGCCTTGATCAACCATAATTCTTTTGAGCTTTTGCCCACGGGTCTAGCCTTCAACAAACAGTGAGCAATTGTGTGGCGTGCCTCCAAGCAACAAGTCTTCATCCTTGAAGCTAATTTCTGTGGAGTAGGAAGTAGCCTTATGCATTAGGACTTCCTCATCCTCGATATGTTTAGCAGATGAACATTCCCCTCTATCTTCTGGCTTGTCATTTGTATTTAGGCAGGAGCTAGAAGTGCCTGTGAGTACATAGCCATTAATGTGCAATCCAACTATCAGCTTAGGTTTTTAGTTGAGATGGAGCACATGCTTCAATTTGGTATCAGAGCCAGACCAAAGGTCACGGGTTCAAATCTCAGCGCCACTCATAAGCGACTATGGTTTACCAGTCCACGTGTTGCTTGGAACCCACCTCACACGTGAGGGGGCGTGTGAGTACACATAGCCATTAATGTGCAATCCAACTATCAGCTTAGGCTTTTAGTTGAGATGGAGCACATGCTTCAATTGTGCCTGCCCCTTGAAGATCAAATCCCTTTGGCATATATTGTGCCAAAGGAACTGGTGCACGTGGCTGTTTGACATGCCCCTTCGTCTTTGATTTGCGGGCATGGGTATTTGTTGAGGTTTTCTCAATCTAACTTTTCACTATGTGCTTTTGATGCTTCACAGGCTCAACTTTCTTCTTTCTATGAGTGACAATCACCCATTTTCCTTTGGATGTGTTATCATTCTGCCGTGGTTCTGAACTTTGACCGACAGAGGGCTTAACAATGAAGGGGAGTAGACGCTTCCGTTGTTTCCCATCTTCCTTTTCAGTACACAGCGGAGTGAACCGTCCGGGTGTAATCGAGATTTGATTTGAGCTCGCTTTGGCATCGGCAAGCTCAATTTTCCCATCCCTGGCCAGTGCCATTACTTTATCTTTGAAGATAAAACACTTCTCAATCAGATGACCAAAAAGACGATGGTACTTGCAATAGTGTGGATCATCCACCCTTGAAGCTTCCTCAGGACGTTTCATTTCTGGCAACTCAATGAGTCTATGTTTGAGTAGCTCATCAAACATGGGAGATACATCGGAATCCATTAAAGGATAAGTCTTCTCCTGCCTTTCTTCAATTGTCGGCCTTCTACCACCCCTTGACGGGCCAGAAAATGGTCGTGGCCTAGGCCTTTCGGTTGCCTTAGTGAATACTGTCATTGGTGTAGCCTTCACATTCATCACTTCTTTCTTTTCTTGCTTTGGAAATGGTTTGTTCCACTTTTTAACTTCTTTTTTTTTTTTCAGGTGCATTGGAGGAGCTAGGCAAGTTCAATATGTTGAGCCCTCCGCTGGCTTTGATGCTCAACTCTCATGTCGTGAGCACGACTGGACAACTCTTCAAAGGTCTTTGGCTTAATCCCTTGCAAGATATAGGAGAGTTCAAAGTGCATTCCTTGGATGCACATCTCAATTGCAGAACTCTGGGATATTCTTTCTTTGCAATTCAAGCATAGTTCCCTCCATCTTTCGATGTAGGCACCGGCGCGTTCACCCTTCCATTGGCGAGTACTGGTGAGTTCCAAGAAGCTGACTGTTCTCCTCGTGCTATAGAAACGGGTGAAGAACTCACGTTCCATATCATGCCAGCTATCAACGCAGCCGGGCGCGAGGTCAGTGTACCAATCAAACGCAGTTCCCTTTAATGAAAGGACAAACTGCTTTACCAACAGATCGCCATAAGTCCCGGCATCATTGCATGTCTCCACGAAGTGGGCAATGTGCTGCCGAGGATTTCCTTTACCATCAAACTGCTGAAACTTAGGAGGTTGATAGCCGTAGGGCATTTTCAACTCCTCAATTCTTTGTGTGTAGGGCTTAGCATAGGAATATGAGGGTTGACCTTCATCCAACTTGCCTTTGATAGCCCCCATTATGTAGTCCTTCAACTGATCCACCGGTATCATGCCTTCAGTGACTGGTATCGATTTCTCAGTTGCAGGTAAGTGGGAAGCAGCTTCTCCTACCGCATGTCTAACAGGAGGTGGTGGTGATTGCTGACCAACCTCTTCTTTCCCTTCAGGTTGCTTTCCTGGAGCACGATTTCCTTGCTCCTCCATGATGCTTCCTACCCTATTATCGAGGGTGTTAAGCCGTTTCTCTTGATTTTGGAGAGCGACAGCCATTCCTTCTAGAGACTTAGCAATTCTAGCAAATTGCTCCTCTACAGACTCTGTGTTTGTCGCCATGGTCGGCATGACATTGTAGACATGCGACCACTCAGGTGCAGCCTTCCATAATGGGTGTGGTGGAGTTACGGGAGAAGTGCTCCTGCTACTAGCGTTCCCTTGCATAGAAGTTGAACTACCACCATCGGTAGCTCCCTTGG